CCCCATACACAAAAGTAAACTTGAAATGGATCAAAGGCCTGAATGTAAGTCATAAAACCATAAAAGTGTTAGAAGATAATATAGGCAAAAATCTCCTGAATATAAGCATGAGCAACTTCTTCCTGAACACATCTCCTCGAGCAAGGGAAACAAAAGCAAACATGACACATGCAACTATATCAAACTAAAGTTTCTGTACGGCAAAGGTCACCATCAACAGGACAAAAAGTATGGGAGAATATATGTATAAATGACATGGTGTTAATATCCAAAATATATAAAGGACTCACACACCTCAACACCCAAAAAGCAAATAACCGTATTAAAAAATGGGCAGAGGATATGAAGAGACAATTCTCCAAAGAAGAAATTCACATGGCCAACAGACACATGAAAAGATGCTCCACATTACTAATCATCAGGGAAATGAAAATTAAAACCACAATGAGATATCACCTCACACCAGTAAGGATGGCCAACATCAAAAAGACTAAGAACAACAAATGCTGGTGAGGATGTGGAGAAAGGGAACCCTCCTACACTGCTGGTGGGAATGTAAGCTAGTTCAACCATTGTGGAAAGCAATATGGAGGTTCCTCAAAAAACTAAAAATAGAAATATCATTTGACCCGGGAATCCCACTCCTTGGAAGTTACCCAAAGAATACGACTTCTCAGATTCAAAAAGACATATGCACCCCTATGTTTATCACAGCACCATTTACAATAGCCAAGATATGGAAGCAACCTAAGTGTCCATCAAGATGAGTGGATAAAGATGTGGTATATATACACAATGGAATATTATTCAGCCATAAGAAAGAAACAAATCCTACCATTTTCAACAACATGGATGGAGCTGGAGGATATTATGCTCAGTGAAATAAGCCAGTGAAAGACATGTGCCAAGTGATTTCCCTCATTTGTGGCATATAACAGCAAAGCAAAACTGAAGGAACAAAATAGCAGCAGACTCACAGACTCCAAAAAGGGACTAGTGCTTACCAAAGGGAAGGGGTGGGGAGGTCAGGTGGGTAGGAGGGAGGAGGGGATTGAGGGGTATTATGTTTAGCACACATGGTGTCGGGGTCACAAGGAAGACAGTGTAGCACAGAGAAGGCAAACAGTGAATCTGTGGCATTTTATTACACTGATGGACAGTGACTGCGTTGGGGTATGTTGGGGACTTGATAATATGGGTAAATGTAGTAACCACATTGTTTTTTCATCTGAAACTTTCGTAAGAGTGTATATCAATAATGCCTTAATAAAAATTAAAAAAAAATAATAAGTAAAAAAATAAAGTCTTCAGTTTCTAGGGAGAAATCTAGAACTGCAATGCTGAAAGAGCTTCCAGCATGTCAACTAGTCCATTCCTTACCTTCAGGCCAGATAAAACCCCAACATCCTGCACTGATGAGAGTGTGTCTTATGTCAAGCCTCCCCAGAAGGAGTTTCTCTGGTAGCCTTGCAGACATCGGGCAGCAGGATTGACCTTAATGTTAGGGTCAAAGATTTTTTTCCCTCCCACTCATGCCTCTGAAAACAAAAGTACCATGTATACCTCAAATAAAGGTCTTGGGCAATTTTAAAATGGCCTCTGACATGGAGCAACCCGTACTAGTGACTGTGAGTTTTCAAATGAATCATGTAGAGTTCACCTTTGTGACTGATTTAAATGTTTTGGTGCCTCAGAACATTGGAGACCTTACACTGACCTTCCAGGAGGGGTCTGCTCCACCGTGCTGGAGAATGGGCCCCTAGTGCCCTGGAGATTGATCCTTCTCCGGGTATTCCTTCCTCCATGCACTCCACACTACATTCTGAACTGTCAGAGCAGAACCATAAACCTGTCTGCATAAGGATTTTTATGTTACCATCTTAAAAATCCAGGGCTCTGTAATATTTGCTTAGTTCTTATTTATGCCCTCTCTACTTCCAAAAAAGACTCCAACATGATTATTTGTTCTGCTGCCTACAAATAATCGCCTTCCACTGTCAGTCTTATTTGTAACTACTGGAATTTTCCACCCTGGGTTAATGATGAAGTCAGGATTAGGACTAAAACATCTTTCAGATTTCTTGCATCAGCACCAGACTACTCAGCTGTCCCTTCTTTTAAAACTGACAGCTTAGTTAAGACAATCAAAAACCCAAAAGATGAATGCCCAAACAAGAAAGAACAAGAAAGGCTAAGGAGGCACAGATATGGGGACAGAGAGGAAGACTCCTTACCTTTGAAGTATGGTCTAAAGGTCACGGTCAGGCTCTGCCTGGAGACGTCTTGTTGGAAGCCAGGGGCAAAGGTGCGGAGAGTCACCAAGATGTTCTGCTTCACCTGGATCTGCTCGATGGAGCCTCCAGAGCAGAAGGAGCCAAAATAAAGGTCCTGGCTGGGGATGGCGCTGGCCATGACGTAGCTGAAGCTGGTGTTGCAGCCCCTCTCGTGTGTGTGCTGCTGCAGCTTCTGGGCTGGCACCAGCGCGAGGCTGAGGCTATCCTTGGGCACCAGCAGCTTCCAGGAGAAGTCGTGAAGCTGCACAGGCAGCTGGAGGATGTCCTCAGGCACCTGGAGTGAATAGGATTTCCTGCGGCAGTACCGTTGGTCTGTGCAGCCTGGAAAAGAGGGGCTTGTGAGACCCAGGCAGGTAGGGTGTGGGAAGGGCACCGCTGCAGTTCCCAGCTCATCCCCAGGCTTGTTTCCTTTTTCCCTGGTCTCTCCTCTCCCACTCTGTCCTCCATTCCCGGCTCCCTGGTGCTACTTCTCTAGCTTTCCTGCCTACCTTCTCACATTCTTACTCTGCACTAAACCAGCAGACCAAGTCCTGCGGTGGATGTAGAGTTGAAATGTTCTCTTCTTGTCTGACAAGTTCTCTCCTCTGTGTATGTGTGTCTTAGACGCACAGTGCCATGTGGGCAGGGCACAGGGTTTTCCTCCACCCAGACCTGCTTCACTCTGGGAAGGGCTTAGAGCGGCAAGTGGCCTGGGGGAGACCTCAGCTTGTGTTCCAGTTCTGCCTCTTCCTAAAGGGGTGGCCCTGGGCTGCTCTGCTTCTCGTGGCCTCGGCTGCCGCATCTGCAGGGGCCCTTAGAGCACCCACGTCAGAGACCATGGGGGCCCAGCAGGGAGGTGACTATTGGTTTTGCTGCCCTCCATTTATCAAACATTTATTACAGGACAAGCACATGTCCGGCACTGCTGGCGGATGAAAAATGAAACAAGCCGAAGTTCTCAACCTCAACACCCTCAGTCCCACACAAGAGAAGACAAGTGGGCAGTGAGCATGGAAGCAGGGTGTGTGTGGATAGGCAAGGGTAGGGAAGACTATGCAGCAAGGAGGGCATTTCACTAGAGAGAGATGGGTCGGCCAGGCACCAGAGACCTAGGCGTGGACAGAATGCGGTGTACTTCTGAAGGATGCGCGTTCCACCCAATGCTGTTCCTCCAAGGGGTGTGTCTCCACCTCACTCTGCTTGTTTCTGGGCTGCCCTTGCTCGCTCTGCACTGTGGAGCCATTTCTGATCATGCTGTTTACGACCTACCCAGGAGACCCCCCACTAAGAAGACAGGGCTGGGAAGGGAGAGCTGCCCATGGCCTGATGGGGCGTATACTAAGCTGGCGTACTTATGGTTTTCTCAGCATTCATCCAGAGGCGTGTCAGGTCATCACAAAGGAAGGAGACCTTGTGTTTGGAGCCCGGTGTCAGGGTTAAGTTGGTGCTGCAGGTCCGAGACTCCAGACACACGAAGCAGCCGGGGACAAAATTGCGGCTCAGCTTGACAGGCCGAGGCTCAATGGTGAGTGACGTGGTTTGCTCATCACTCAAGTCAACCACATAGCTTTTATCTGAAACCACAAACAGAAAACTGGCATGAAGACTGCGCTGGCAGCAACCCTGTGAGAAGGCAAAATGTAGCCCAAAACCTCTCCTGCCTGGGGAACGTTGGAAAAATTTGTTATTATTAAGAAAATATTATAAAACTTTAAAAGAAATTTAAAAAGAAAAACAATAGACTGCATTGCTACCACCTTTAACTGCTTTCATTTGTTCAAATTCATTTGAGTTCTTGTTCATATGCATGCATGTTTTCACCTACTTAAAAGTAGTATATATGAAATGTTACGCTCAGCTTTTATTATTTTATACAGTTTTACTCATTTTTCTACATAATTTTCACATTCATTCATCTTTTAAAATATTCATTGATCTTAGTGACTGACTTGAACACTCTGACTAGGAACAGTAATCAACAACAGTGTGGTTTTTGTGCAGCGATGGAAGAATCATGGATAAAATGGAACCATAGATACTGTAATTTAATCTCTAATAAATGGTATGTTTCAAACACATGAGAAAAAAATGAACAACTCTACAGGGTGGGCCAAAACTGTCTCTCCCATTAGCAAAAGAATAAAATTAGACTGGTAGCTCAAAGCAGTCACCCCAGTAAAAACAAAGAGAATATCCTTATAAATGTGGAGTAAATACAAATTGTAAAAGAAAAAAGGTTTAAAATATCTGTCTGACATGTGCCATATGTAATGTTAAAGAACAAGGGACACATTGGGAGAAAATATTTGCAACCCAGAATGACTGAGCAGTTCAGAGGAAAGGAAATACAAATGTCCAAACATCCCAAATACGATGAGTTCTTAATACCATTTATAGCATCATTTGTAATCAGAGAAAAAAAATTAAAACAAAAATGTATAGTCTGAAACTGAGGACCTGCACCCCTGTGCTCCTGGCAGTGTGACATGGAACATACATCCATGTTTGCACTGCGGCCCTGTAACTGTGGAAAGCAAGGGGCCCCCTCATACTGGTATGGTTAAATAAACTATGGAACATGGCTTCTCCTTCCTCTGTACGCAGTGCATTCCATCCTCGCTGGAAGTTTGTGTCCCTCATGTTCTGAAATTCTACAGCAAAGCGCCTGGGTGCGCATCTGTTTTTATCTGTCATGTTCAGTGGTTCCTTTCAATCACAGTCCATGTCCCTCAGTTCTGGCAAATGTTCCTGCAGAGTCTCTGAGGATTCCCTCCCCTCTATTTTTCCTATTCTCTCTTTCTAGAACTCCTTTTATATGGATACGGGGCCTCCTTGACTAGTCTTCTGATTTTCTTACCTTTCCTCCTATTTTGTACCCCTCTAGCTATCTTTGAACTCCACTTTCTGGGCGATTTCCTCATCGTTACCTTTCGGTCCTTTTGAGTCTTTCATTTCTGCTGTCATATTTTTAATCTCAAAGAGTTTCTTTCAGCAGTGGAAGCTCTTCTTAAAAATGACAACCTGTTCTTGTGACATGGATATCTGTAGTTGGCTCTTACTGAAAGTGAGGCACTCCAAGCTATTTGGAAATGTCTCTGCCTGCTGACTGAGCTTCTCGGCAGGTGATCTGGCCTGACTGCTTCCTGGGAAACCCATAACGTCAGTATGTTTAGGTCTGTAGGGTTGGTTAGATTCCCGAGAGAAGAACCCACCATTCACCAAATGGAGGAAACACACAGGGCAGCCCAGGAAGGGAGCAGGATGGGGCCTCAACCCTCAGTACGTGGGTTTTACTCAGCCCTCTGTGTTCAGCTTAGAACCCCCACCTTCAGTGCTACTGTGAGCTTTAGTTTAGAAACTGTCCTACCTTCTCCACAGAAGGTCCTATCTTCTCTTGACTAGGGGAAGGAGCATCTCCTGGATGCTGGCACCAAGGGGAGGGTCTAGGGCTGCAGTGGTTTCTCCTAGTTTTAGCCCTACATTTGCCCTAGTTCTGGAGGTGACTTGCTGCCTCCTGAGACTTTGCTCTGGTTTCTTCTTGGTTTTCCCCACTATTGGCTTAGGATCTTGCCCTTTCAGGTCTGCTGAATTAGTTATTACCCTATTTTCCACTTTATAAAATGTTATATTACTTCCTTTCCATTTATGCTTTTAAGAATGTTTTTAATGCCATTACACTGTGGTTGAAGGGGGAAGCAAAGCTATTTTTAATGGGAAGTCATCATTTTCCAATTACTTGTCTGCCTTTCCCTCCAGAACATGAACTTCATGGATCTCTATAACCTGCAAATCTGGCTCATGTTAGAGAGCCATGAGGTAGAGGTTGTTAATCCTGATGCCATCCTTGAGAGAGGGTGTGTCAGTCAGCTCAGGCTGAATCACACTGCCGTAACAAATGATCCCTAAACCTGAAGGGTTAAAATGACAAAGGTGTATTCCTTATTTGCCTTGCATATCCTTGTGAGTTGGTTGCAGGTCCATGTCTTCTAAATTCTGAGATCCAGGCTGAAGGAGAAGCCTCTATATGTAATATGCCCATCTTGTGATAGAGTTTGAACAAGTGAGCCACACAATGGGTGCTGAGGCTTCTGCTCAGAAGTGGCACACTCACTTCTGCTCACACTCCACTGGCCAAAGCAAACTCACACAGCCAGGCCTGCAGTCAATGGGGCAGCATGTCTAATTCTCCCTCAGTAGGCATGGCAAATATTTTAGAACAAAAATGCAATTTATCTTAGTAGGTGTTACCTCCCCCCATTTTTTTATATAGGGAAACTAAGACTAGGAGGTGGTGGGACTGGAATTCAAGTCCACATCTTCCTAATTATAAAGCCTGTGATGTTTCTACAAGGCTCGCTGCCTCCCTGGACCCCAAAATCCAAGCTTCCTCATCTCCAGCCTGCTGATTGCTCTGAGGAGACAGGACACTGTGGGCCCTGGGCCTGGTTTCACACAGCCCACATATGGGTGATGCGCCCTCTGAAAGACCATACCAACAGCCATTTGGGTCCAAGGCCATAGTGAAATTGGTCCTCGATGTGCTTTAGAAATTGTATTAAATTTGTCAGACTTTGGTTTACTTCAAAAACAGGTCATCAAATGTTTACAGAGGGCCTGTATTTATGACCAACACTATACTCCAGTGTTGGTATACAACAAAAAATAGACCTCTTGTTTAGGAAGTTCAAAGGTTAAATTTGCTTAAGATAATACTGTTTTTATTATCTTCATTTCATAACCTATAAATTTAAAGCTTAGAAGTATTAAATAGCTTGCCCAAAGTCATACAGCTAACTAGTAAGTGGGCCCTAAAGCAATCTGACTTCCAAACCCTCATAACCATTTAATATAGCTTCCCCTAATTTTTTTGACATATAGTTTACACATAACAAAAGGCATGTGTTAAGCATTCAGTTTGATGAGTTTTGATTTTATATCTCTATTGTGCTTATCACACAAAGCAAGATCTAGAACATTCCTATTAGCCCTGAAAGTTCTACTGTGCCCCTTTCCAGTCAATTCCCCCTGACTTCCAGTCATGCCCTAAAAGGAAATAACCTTCTGATATCCATCCCTGCAAATTTGGCCTCTTCTGGAACTTAGTATAAATGGAATCATGTAGAATGTATTCTTCTGTCTCTGGACTTTTTCACTCAACATTTTTTGAGACTCATCCATCTTGTTGTCGATATCAGTCTGTTTTTCCTTGTTGTTGCTGAGTATATTCCACAGAATGAATGTACTGCATTTGTTCATCTGTTCTATTGATGAAGATTTATGTCATTCCATGTTTGACTTCTTTGAAGAAGATGGCTGTACATATATATATTTTTAAGTCTTTGAGTAGATACATGGCTTCATTTCTCTTGAGTAAAAACCTAAGAGTAGAATTTCTAGGTCACAGGGAGGTATAAGTTTAACTTTGTAAGAAACTGCCGGATCGTTCTGATAAGCAATCGCACCATTTTACACTCTGCCAGCAGTGTATGAGGGTCCAACCTCTACATTCTCACCATCATTTGGTGTTGCCAGCTTAGCTTCTTTAACCATGATGGTGGATGTGAAATGGTACCGTGGTTTCACAGTTCATATCTTTTTTGAAAGTTATTGTGCAATAATCAAATGGACAGTGATGAAACACCCAGCAGTTGGGCCAAAACGAGAGTGCAATTCATCAAGAAAAACAGTGCTGATTCTGGAGTAAGCCAGACCTTCCATTCTCATGTCAGGAGGCCCCTGGCTCTCTGTAATAACACACTGTATTCCACATTCTGGTTTGCATATACATCCCATGCATTACTCATTTTATACGACTTCTTTCCACACTTTCCTTAGTTGGATCTCAAAGTAGCTCAAGAGGCAGACACAATGAATTCACTTGCTGTCTGAGAGTGCTGGCATAGGCAGCTGCAGCAGGCAAAGCAGGGTGGGCACATGCGGCCTCACTCTTGCAGATGGGGTACTTTCCATGGAAACGTCACTATTAACATTCATAAATCTACAGGCAGACGAGACAGATTTTTATGCAGTGTCTTCTCTGCACCATGACAATTTGTGACCCCACCCTCACAATGGGAGCACAGGCAGGTGTGGCTGCTGCCAGTTTACAGCCGGAAGAGGGGACCATGGAGGGACTCAAATTCGTGGCTCAAGGTGCCTCTGCTGGAGGGCAGATCTGTAATTTGGAGTTTCCTGCTGCAGAAGAATCCTATATTCTTTCTGCAACACTGCAGATGTTTCCTTCATATAAGAAACATTTGAGCCAAAAAAAGACAAACTGCCACTGTTTGATACTTCTTGACACTGGGGACCTTTGGAGGGGTCAGGTTACTGTCTGACGTTTTACAAAGGCCCTAATCATTTGTGATACCTACAGATAGCAATTTCTTAATTTAAAATGAAAATGGGACTCCTGGGAATAAGACGGGGGCCACATTATATGTCCACTCTGCCAGGACAAATGAAAGACTCACAGAGAATGAGTTACCCAACAAAAAAACAAAAGCAAAGCCAACATTTCTTTAAGGGATCCAGGTGCCTTTTGAAGGTATAAAAGCTGATGAAGAAGCAATGTGACTGTTTCCACAACCAGCCTTTGCCCAGAAAGGGTTGGTGGGAGCTCTCCACCATGTAACGTGCTGGAAACTCACATCCTTCCAACTTTTTTGAATCATGGTAACCCAGAAGCCAATGGTTTTTGAAGATTCTAGTCTATTTGGTACTTTCAGAGCAAGTAAACGTATCTTCCAAAAGCTAGTGGAAGATGTGAGGACATGTCAAGCAGTAGGCTGGCAGGCTGCTTCCACTAAAGGAAATAGTCTAAACAGGCAGACTTCAATTAACGCACATGATCACTATCAGCAGGGCCATGTGAACCTTTCAGAAATAATATAAAGAGGAACAAGTTGCTTGGGACAATAGAGACACTAGTAAATGAAACTCCAGGAGGACCAGAATTACTTCTTATATCTCCTGGTAATGAAGTGGTAATAATACCAGGAATGACATGGTAGTATTATACTATCAAAAAAGAAGTGGGTGCATCTGCCTAAGAACAAGATTTGTTTGGCAGAGACAAACATGAACCGAGCTCTCAAACATCACTGCACTGCACATCGTGGACAACCTAAGACATCAGTGCTCACAAATAAGGTCACAGCTGGCCAGATCAGTGACTCCTCAGGCCTACGGCAGCTCGAACACTACTCATCTCAGGACACAGGATGTTTGTAGTCAAGCCAGGAAAGATATTCCCTATAGGAGTCCTCTGGGGTCTACTTTGAGCCAATCTGATATTTTTCAGCAAAGTGGAGAGAAGATGGATAGTTACAATTTTTCTTACTTAGCAGACAAGTGGGTTCAAAGTAACATCTGTCTGCTGTCCACCTTCAGAAATCACTTCTTTTCTGCAGCCTTGGCCCACTGTGGTTAGGTCCTGCTGTGGCTAATGAGCCTGGGTTGGCCAGGGGCTCTGACAGCTGCCCAGGCCCTCACTGCAGCTCTGGCTGTACGTGGTGCTGTGACAGCCACTCTCTTTGCTGAGAAGGTCTCCCAGCTCTGCCTCTGCTCTCCTTTCTGATGCTGTTCTCATCTGACTTCCCAAGCAGCCACTGTCCTGGGTGCCCCACTGTACCCTCATGGCCCTGCCCCTTCCAGTGGATGGTGCCTTTGAACAGCCTCTGGTTCCAGAGCCACTTTAGACAAGAGACTGTCTCCTGAGATTCAGACAACATTATAAAGGGACTAGAATGTGCTGGGAACTGTGGTGGGTGTAGGAAGTTGGAGAATAAGACAAGATTCCTGACTGAGAGGAGTTTAGAGGGCCACTGACATATGGACAAATATAATATGGTGTGTGGCCATGCAAACCACTCACATGTGTGCTCCTTGAGCAGAGGCTTGGGTCTGGGCAGTTGTTTCCCACTGTTGGGGACAAAGGAAGGTCAAGTCAGGGACAAGAGACCCTGGCCTGGGCTCAGGGGGTACAGCAGGAGGACTCACAAGGGGACCAGCCCCAGGAGGCTCTCCTCCAGCAGCAAGGGCAGAGGCTCCGGCCACAGGACTCAGTCTCCTGGAAAGCTCCAGCTTCGTCTTCCCTGTCTCCAAAGCTGAGAAAGAGCAGAAGCAACACAGGGTCCCTTCCTGTGGCAAACAGGGGCACACACCATCTGGGGCCCCCTGAGCAGCTTGGGAAGAGTCAGGTTCTGCCACAGGACTCCTCTGGGTGTTCCTGCCAGCCTCAGGTGCACGCCCCGCCTTGAACCCCATCACACACCATTGAAACTCCTTCTGGAAAGGGACCTCCTGCCTCCTGTATATCTTGAAACTCTTCGGGGCCACAGCCTGATCTCTAAGGACAAGTGCCACATCTCCTCTCAATCTTGTGTCCTTTCCTTGACCCAGAACCCTGCAGGATAACATTTAAAGAGTGTTTACTACTTTCTGGGTACTGTGCCACTTCCTTTCATTCTCACAACACCCCTTCAAGGGCAGGCCTATGAACCCTCTTTTAAGATGAAGAGCTGAGTCACACAGAAGTTAAGTGACTTGCCTGTGGTCACGCTATAAGTAGGGGAACCAGGATTCAAACCCACATAGGCCAACTCCAGAATAGGTAACCCCAATCACTGGGCTATGCTGCCTGTAAAACAAGCAGCCTGCACAAATTTATCAAATAAAGGAGAGCTAAGAATGACTAGACAAACACGTGGTTGCACAGGACTGGCTGCCTTGGGCAATCCCTTGAATTTTAGGGTCCACACTGGGGTTCACAGGATCAAGTCACAGCTACCCAGAAATTGGAGGTCTCAGGGAGTTCAGCCCAGTCTAATTTTATTGCCAAAGATATTCCTGCTGGCCAAGCTCACTCATTCATCTAGAAAAATGCAAACCCTACTTTATGTACAGTCATGACATTGTTAAACACCTCTCAACTGTAGTTAATCACTCTTTATTTACCTGAAAACTAATGCCATACCCATCTCGATGCTATTTGTAGCATGTCTGACAAATTGATTAGTTTTAAGAATTAACCCTGCTGATGTTACAGGAAACAGAATTTATCAGAAGCACTTCACCATGACGGAGATGAAAAACAAATCCCTCTGTCTTTTAAAACTCTACCTACTCCATTTCCAAATCCGTTCATGGCTGTTTTCAACATCCTGACTATACAATTGTGATAGTGGGATCATAAAAATGTGTCAGTGGGCACACATACACACACTCACATACACACATTATTGCATTCTATATAGTTACTATAAATTAGAAGGAATCTTGAGTCAAGAAATGGGTGGAGCTACAGCTTCCCAAGGAGTTGGGCCCCAATGGATACCAGGAAGGCATTCCCAAGGCAGTGCCAACTGGGCAATCCCACGAGATAATTTCACATTGTCACTTTTCACATGCTTATCAGCCCAACAAAAACAAACACCATGTCATTCCATATTCCCACTTTATTTTTCTGCCTGGCTCTGCCTACTTCTGGAAGTGAATACTAATAAAAACGACGCTGAGGATCAGCCCTCTGGACAGGACCCAGCCTCAGCACATGTCAGAGACATCCTGGTTCAAGACTACTTGGCAACTTGCTCCTTCACAGACAAACACCAGGAGCAGCCGTTTTGAACTCACCTTGTACCTTTCATTTCAAGGTCGGTACCACTCTTGGCAGAGCCAGGACTTGGGTGAGGCAAGCAAGGCACCCAGGGAGCAAAGCTGAAGGAGGCACTTGCTCCGGGGGCTGGCCTTGCACTTACACAACCCTGAGATTGCAGCTGCAGTGGGTGCATCCTTCAGGGCTGCATCCTAGGCACTTCACCTTGCCCCAGCTTTGGCCCTGACTCCCCTTCTCTAGGTTCATGACATCTCAGGAAATGTGTGTGGAATGATGGGCAACCTAGTTCTCATCCGCCCACCTGGGGTTCATTATGTTCCAGAACACAGGTTCTGAGTTCTGAGCCTGCTCTGCTCCTGCCAAGCTGTGTGATGTTGGGCTAGTTCCATACCTTCTCTGAACCTCCTGGATTCTCATCAGAAAATGAAGGTAATTCCTGCCTCCCCTGCAGGACTGTAATAAGGATTAACTGAGGCCTTGTAAGGTGTGGTTCAGGAAGGGCTTGGCACGCAATGTGTGCCCATGGTATGGGGCACTCAGCCAGTAGCAGTGTTCGCTATCCTTATTACTGCTGACGGTGCTGTTGGCATCCCCATTCACAGTATAAGGCCAACACATGAAATCTAGGAGGTAACTTACCAATGCCTTCATTAAAAACGGTATAGCACCCAGAATGCCATTTTGTGTCTGTGTCTGAGGTGGATGGCACACCAGGCATTTGCCACTGAAACTGTCTTACCTTGGAAGCACACTTCCTGAAGCAGGGTCCACAGTCCAGGTGTTCCAGAGCACAGGTGAGGAATAGGAAGGGAATCTCACCCCAAGAAGCAGCCCCAGGAAGGAAAGAAGGAGATGGGGGAGGAGGAGAAGGGCAGCGAGGCTCACTTACTGCTCTCATTTTGTGGATGTTGGACCAAAACTTGGAACTGCAGCCGGAGGATCCCCGGATTTTGGGCATCTTGGTCACAGCCCTGCAGAGAGAGGTTGAAATTCCCAGCCATGTTCCCAGGCTGCTGGTCCTCCAGCTTGAACACTTCGGGGTTGGTGGTGGAGCCTGGAATGTAGTACTCAACCCTCTCCTCCTTCTTCTCGCAGTTGGAGACATTGAAATGGAGGAAGGAGACACTTGCCCGCAGGTGTGCGGGAAGGACAAACTGCCACGTCATGAGCTCGTCCTCAGGGAAGCCTTCTGGGTAGTTGGCGGACATCAGGGTTGCAGAGCCTTCACCCTCAAAGACAGATTCGATGATGCACAGTCCTGTTGGGAGCGGAACCCAATCAAGAAAGAACAGGAGGCAATTAGAGGCTGCCCGGGTTGTCCACAGCTGAGGGGCAGGGGGGTTAGAGAAGATGTGAAGGCGGTTCTCAGGTCCTGAGAAGCAGGGCTGGGTCTGGCATGGCAAGGGTGTTAGTGGTCTGCAGTAGCTGTTTAATGACCTACCCATCAGGAAAAAAAAGCCTGAATTTGTAGTGTCTGCTTACTTCCTGGTGTAAACCCTCCCACCATGACTGACTTCAAGCTATCAATGTGATGTGACTGAACATGAGGTCAGGAGGAGATGGCACAGCTACCCGTCATGTGGCATTTCCACCCCACAGATACAATCAACATAAATAACCTCTGAGCACAGCTAACAGTAAAATGTAGTGAAATAATTAGGAAGTGATGAGTTTTGAGTGTTTATTACCTTTGTTCCCAAACTAACTTTATTGTAAGTTCACATCATTTTATTTTTATTAATGGCTCTGTTTAACATGAGTTCATAAAATTCTTGAACATGTACCAATCAGCTCTTGTGAGCTGGTGTGAACCAGCTCAAGCACACCATTGATACAATTACAGAAAGTGTGAGAGAGACAGAAGATAGGACAAAGAAATTAGAAACGGATCAAGGTAGGTCTGTAGAACCATCCCCACTTGACTCTCTGAAAATAAACCTCAAATGCACAAAGGACAAAGAAGAGAGAGTTGCCACCCACTTTGTTAACAGAGAAGAGTAAGGGTGAATCCATACCATGAGTGAGTAGCCTGCATCGCTTACAGAAGCTTTGGATCCTCTATTAAGCTATTCAGGCTGAATCACACAAAACCGCCCACATCTGGCCTTTTCTGACCCAGAACAATGGTGATTTTGTATGTTTCAACATCAGCAAGTGGTGGGGAGGGAGTGGCGGGCTCACGCTTTATAGATGAACGGTTGGCAATGCTGAAGCCAGAGACATTTCTGTCATGGAACCATGGCAGGTGTAAGGCCATTTTCACTTCTTCCTGCATTTTGATCCGGGACACGGTGCCGTTGCTGCAGAAGGTTCCAATCCTGACCTCAGTGGCATCAATGTAACCGCTGATGGAGTGGGTGACTCCGTCCGGGCAGCTCTCCCCTGGCCCAACCTGCCTCAGGCGAGGAAGGGCGAACTGCAGCTCTAGGCCGATGCTCTTGTGAGCTTTCACGTCCCAGATGAAAGTTCTGTTGAGGGTGGGCAGCACCAGCGTGGAAGGCTGAAGCTGCATCTCCCCAAAAGGACACGGGCCTGCCAGGCAGTCTGCAATAGGCACAGAAGCAACCTTGGTCACAAACACTACCAGCCACTCACGCTCCTCCTCACCCCTGCAGCAGACTGGGGGCTCCAGCAGGTGGGCTGCTGGCTGGTGGCCTGTGGCTCATCTTCCTCTGGGGAAGTGCCTTGGCTCAGGATGCTGCATTGGGCCAGAGAAGCCTGAGCAAGTCTCACTGTAGCCTCACTTGCATCCCAAGGGGAACAGCAGCCTCTGGCCAATCACTGCCCAGTGCAGCGGTGACAAGGCTTGATCTCTGTGCTTTAAGTGACCTGACCTGGTGATGCCACTCATGCACCAGCCTCAGTCTGAGGCCACACCTCAGCTAAAACCACACCTCTGCTTTTATCTTCCCTGGCTCCCTCCTGCTTTCCTCACCTCTGCATAGGCTTCTTCGAAGGCACTTTCCCAGGGAATGACTGAAAAGTCCCTCTGTCAGCCTCTGTGCCCAGGCAGCCAGACCCAAGACACCTCCTAAGGACTGTGCTTTCTGGATGGAGTTACTGGAGCCCGGTCGGGGGCCTCTGCCCGGGGCTTCCGGGAAGGCAGAGCAAGGCCTTCTGCCATGGAGTCCGGGCCTGGAGTCATCCTATTTCCCCTGACCTGAGAGAGGCACACTTTCACAATTTTTAGGGCACAGTGCCAGGCCTCACCTTTTAAAACTGGTTTTCCCATCAACATACAGAGTACACTATGAACAGACAAGCCCCTTCACAGATGGAACTTGCAAATGCAATTATCTTCCTGCCTCATGGCTTTAATAAGGGTATTACCCCTGCAGCTGAATTTTCTTATGAGATTAATGATTGACATCCTTGGACATACTTTAGTTTCCCAAGCATTTTAAAACAAAGTGAGAAACATTGCTGTCAAGGAGGAAGTAAGAGGGAGCACAGGGAGGAAGTAATGAAAAGCAGGCAACGACACAGTAAGGCTTCTCGTCAGGAGCACAGGGACTCTGAAAGTTGTGATGGGCTCTGGCTGCTGTAGTAATCATCTGTGAATCTTTATTGCTGCTCCAGTGGGGCAATTCAAAGTACTGCCAATCTGATGTGGCATTATGGGAGAATTCCAAAGCTGTCTAGGACTCCAGAGGTAATGCAAGCCCAACCTCTCGTTTTTGCAAAGCACCCCTGGCATCTGGGTGACACACAACCCCAGGACAAAAGCCCAGGCTATAGTCAACCGGTGTTCGTGCTAATGCAGTGTGTTGCCAAACCAATACAAGGTGACAAATGTGGCTAAAATTAGCCTCTCTGTGTCGGTGAAGGCAGTACCTATTTTAAGGAGCTGATGGAAACTTCATTGTTTATTTCAAGCCACCTCTTTCATAGCTTTCCACCCACATCTCCAGTGTGCCCAGGGCCAGAGGGATTTGCTCCTGCTGGGCTCTGTACTCCTGAGGCGATCACTTAGCCCTTTTAGGCACTGGTTCTCAGCCCTGGTCCCACAACACACTCACCTGGATGATAGTTAAAAAATGCACTTGTCTGGGCCACCTGGGAGATTCTGGCTGAATTCCATACCAAGAACCTGGAGTCAGAATCCCCGTCTGCTACCAACCATGTGACACTGGAGAAGCAGGCTGAGAAAGCCACTGTTAACTTGTTGGTAGGAGCTTTGCTTTTTAGGATGGGTGCACAGGTAAGAGCAATCAAAACCCAAGTGCTCCACGTCTCCTGTTCCCCGGCCAGTACCAACATTTAAATAAATGAAATGATTCCCATCCAGAGGATGGAGAAGTGTCATTTTGGGAGGGATTCACAACTCATTTTCCCAGCCCCGACATCTACTTTCATTAATTTTAATGGGACTATTTAAGAAGGGATAACAACATAGGTGTGAAATAAGCTTATTCAGGGAAGGTTTTAAAATGAGGGGCAGGCAGAACACTAACTTGAGTTCAGCATCTATATTTACTATATTAAAAATTAGTATTTTCTTATCATTTTCAGAAATTGTGAGGATGGGTTTTTACTAATATAGTAAATCATGTGTCTCATGTAAGGATTGAGACTGATGCACCTAAATGCTTGACTTGTTCCTTTTTCAAAATAGCAGTCACTTTATTTATTTACCTGATTACAAAGTAAAGCATGCTTGTTAAAAAATGACAGTATGGAAGAACAGAGAAGAAAATGGATGACAACTGTCCCCTTCCCTACCCACTACAGGTATAATATACCACTATGATAAAAGGTTAGCATTTTGGTATTTACCCCTTCAGATTCTGGGGCTCTTTATGATTATGCATGCATATGTGTGTAGTTAATAAAGTGAGACTGAATACACAAACTGTTCTACAATTAAGCTGTATTATTTTCAATGGGCAAAACTTCCATATCAAATACAGATTTATGTCATTCATTTAACAGCAACACACAATGCCACTGGATTCTTAAATGCATTGGCATTCTCCTCAGCTCTGTAAAAGCTTCACTGAGATTTTAATTGTATTGACTTAAATTGATAAATTAATTTGGGGGAGAATCAACATTTAAAAAAATACTTCATCAAGGAACGTGGTGCATCTCCCCATTTATTTGCATCTTCCTTTTGTTTCTCAGTGACATTTTATATTTTGCTTCATATCCATTCTATGTGCTTATTAAGATTATTCCTAAATACTTAATTAGAACTTCCAGATAATGGTGAGCAATATCATGTGTAGTGGGAATCCTTATGCTGTTCCTTGTTTTATTAGTAATGCTTCTACATCTGATGTTGCATGTATTTTCTATCAGCTGTTGATAGACTCCATTGAATTAAGAAAATATTCCTTTTTCTCATTTACTGAGTGTTTCATTGAAAACAGTCATCTATAAAGATGATAAGCAGTTTTTTCTCTCACCTAATGATGCAAAGCATGATATTAACCAATTTGGAAATGGTGAACTAGCTTTCTGATGATTCTTTCAGAGAACCCTCCCTACTCTTACTGCTTTAGTCTTTTAATGTGTTTTTTGGATTTGATATACTTTATAATTTTTTAAGGATCTTTTTACATGTATATTCATAAGAGATTGGCCTATGGTTTTCTTTTTTAATGCTTTGGCAGATTTTGAGGTCAGGGTTGCAAGAGCTTTAAAAGGAACTGAAACTTCACCTCTCTCTCACTCTAGGATGGGGTTAAGCAAACCACAGATCATGGGTCCTATCCAGCCAGATACATGCCAGTGGGAAAAAACACGTGGGACATGATGGCCCCTTTGTGTACCTGCTGTGACTGATTTCATGCCCTAACAGCAGAACTGAGTATGTGTGACAGAGACCATCTAACCTACAACACTGAAAATATTTACTACCTGGCCTTTTACGGAAAAGGTTTGCTAATCCTCCTCTAGAATGGTTTAAATATAGAGGCTACCTTCTTGAAGTGTATAGGATCCTCTATGAAACCATCCTGAACCCAAACCCTGCTGTCCTCCATCCTGGACATTTTCCCCAATCTTCTCCTTGGTTATTTATCTCTCCAGGTTTCCTACCTTTCCATGAATCAGTAAGGCCCATTTTTTCCCCTGAAAATAATTTGTTTTATTCAGATTTTCACACTTACTATCATAATGTTGTACATAGATGCTTACACTTTTAGAAATTACCTCTGTATATGTCAATCAATATTTTTATACTTTCAATGCTGCATATGTGTATTTTCTCATTCTTTTTGCCAGGAGACTAGTCAGAGACTTGTTTATTTAACTGGCCTTTATAGAGAAACAGGTTTTGGTTTTAGTTATCAAATATAGCTTTAACTCTGCTTTTAAGTATTTTCACTTCTTTTATTTTTCTGAATTCCTCTTTCCTAAGGTTGATTTTTACCCCGTTTCTTGCTTCATGATCTATTGCCCCATTCATTTGTTTTCAGTTAAGGAAATCTCGTGAACATAGCTTTGGATAATGGATAGGGCTCTCAAGGTTGTTACTATGCCTGTTACTTCCTAGTTGGAATGGCCACCATGAAAATGACTGGGAAACCGTACATTCAGTTCTTTCTGCCTGATTATTATTTATGTCAATCTCCTTTCTGAAGCTCAACTTATGAATAATAATACCAAATGTCCACAGTTTAATTCCTGTGTGTTCAACACTTTCAGTCCATTCATTTATTTCACCCTCTTGAGACCCCTGTTGGCTAGAACAATGAATCTGACCTTACAGACTAGAAAACTAAGTCACAAAGCAGTTAAGTAAAGCATACGAAGCCACGCGATTGGGTCAGTCAGTAGGCCTGGAGTTGGAAGACAAACTCAGCTCCTTAGCCTCCAAAGCTGTTGTTTTTTCCACTGTGCCTCATGGACCCGTTTCTTCACTCTTACCTCCTCAACTTTCCAATTCTCCTATCCTCCATCTCCCTTGACTTTTGCTTCTCACCAGCCAGATGTTTCAGCACATCGGGCAGAACAACCTGAAGATCTGTAGCTCCGTTAAGGAACAGTGTGACGTGCTCACAGGCAAAGATTCCTGCAGAAGCCAGGACACCTGGGTAAGTCCTGTGGCTACTTATCAGCTGTGCCACCCTAGGTAAGTTAGTCTCTATGAACTTCTCATAGGGCTACTTTGAAGATTAAACAGCTCAACCCGGTAAAGTACTTAGAACTGTGACTGGCCACAAAACAGCTAAATAGAGTGCAGGGTTTCAGAATCAATCTTACCTCCCTAACATTAGAGGCCAGCTTAGTATAGGAAGGAGAGGCAGGGAGACCAACAGTCCACAGGTGTGTACTTACCAATATTCTTCTGGATCTCAATGACAAAGTGATTCTCTGGATTCTGGCAGCTAAAGGAAAAGCCCGTTTTAACTCCAGGTTTGATGAGCAATGTGGCTGTAAGTCTCTTAGAAACGATAATGGAACAGGGCTTATCTGGCAGCCTTAGGGTCCCAGGCTTTATAAGAACGGTAATGCCGCTTCCAGGGGGCAGAGCAATCTCAGAAGCGTCTGAAAGAAGGGAGAAAAATGGAGTGAGCAGGAGGACCACGTCTGCAGACCTGCTGCCAGCCCCTCCACTGGTCTGGAAGGACATCCTCTTTGACACCTTTGTTCCTTCCCTCCTGGTCTGAGAAGGGGGACAGTGTAAAGCAATGGTGCTGTCTTTGCCAGTCGGAAAGAACCAGGCCATTGCTGGTTGGCCACTGACAAGTGTCTCTTGTTTGGCTTATTAATTTTTCTAAAACCACACAAAGAAACTGCCCATCTGTGGATGTGCTTATCTGCCAAGAGCTGCTGTCTTCTGCCCTGAGCACTTCATACACCCAGTGCATACATACATAAAATACATAGCAGTGGACGCTAGAACTTTTGCAGAAATTAGATATAAACATACCGTGTTAATAAATTGGAAAGTTAGAGCAAAATAATGCTAATATCTCTGACTGAGACTCAGCAAAATGATCTGAACAAATAAGCAACACCAAGCAAGTAAGATGGGGGTTAGTTAAGGAACAGAGGCACGAAAACCAGATAGGGTGGGGCCGTGGTTCATGAACAAGCCCAACCTCCTTCTCGGTCTCTTTGCTTTATTGATTTTTAAATACTCTCAGACTAAAATGAAGAGCCACTTCACTTCTGTGGTTAGTCACTGCCACTATCCTGGTCAGCTCCTAACTGTGGGTCTCCGATGGCTGACAGCCGGGGAGTAGCGATGACAGGATGCTTGCCTGTAAGTGGGGCCATGGGGGGAACCCAGGGACTCACAGAGACTCTTGGGGCTGGAGTCAGTGCCTCTGCCCAGTGTGTTCTGGTGCAAAGAGACGTTCGTACCTGCTGGGTGCCTGTACACAGAAGGTGCTTGGTAAGCATTTGGCTGATGGACAGCAATCTAATGAAAAGTTTTCCTTTGTTTTCCAGATATGCTTTAGCCCCCTCCTTTTGAAAAGTTATTTTTAAATCTTTATGTAGATGTAACTTAGATAAATTTAAAAGGATCCATTCATTTTAAGAGTTTTGACAAATGGGCATTCACAGTGATAACTGTGTATATCACAATTAAGACATAAAAAATTTTCATCACCCCCAAAGTTCCCTTGCTCCCCCTTTGCAATCAACCTCCCCTTCCGATCCCAGAAAGTTATCAGTTAGGTTTGCCTTATGCAGATCTTCATATAAATGGAATCCTACAACATATTCCCTTTGTACCTGGCTTCTTTGTTCTATGTTTCTGAGATTGATCCACATTATTGCACAGATAAGTGGTTTATACCTTTTATTAATGAGTAACATTCTGTTGTCTGGATAGACTATGATTTATTTGTCCATACACTTGTTGACTGACATTTGAGTTCTTTCTAGTTTTTGGCCAGCCATGTGTGCATTAATTTTACCAGAATTGCTAGTCTGCATGAAAGTTGCATGCATTTCTCCCCCTACAGGCACTGTATGAGTGCACCTGAATTATTCCCTAGCCCAGAAGCTGTGTGTGATCAAGTATGGATTTTTGTCAAGCTCTTCCTATACCTCTTCCAGCCCTGTTTGCTCTGCTACAGGCTTGCCAGCTAGCAGCTCTTTACGTAGATAGAAACTGATTTCTCAATCTGTGATAATGAACTGCAAATATCCCCCCTCCCCTGTTTATCAGGTTAAGAACTTTGCCCTCTTGTAACATTAGCAGGGTGGGCTAGAGTCAATCTACGCTCCCGCCAGCTTGGAGTCTACAATCAGTACTGGAGTGAGAAGTGGCTGCAACTGGAAGCATTTCCAGCTATGGCCTGGCAGTGAATGTCTTTTGGAGCTCCAGGGCACCAGCACTGCTGCCATCATGGCTTGGTTTTCAAGATGACTTACATTTGGTTTTTTGGAGCAAAACTCATCTCTCCAGCCTCAGCTTGTACCCCTCTCTGCCTTGGTCACTGTGCGCAGGCCATCTTTGCCTATTTTTTTTTTTTTGGTATCATTAATATACAATTACATGAGCAACATTGTGGTTACTAGACTCCCCCCATTATCAAATCTCCCCCACATACCCCATTACAGTCACTGTCCATAAGCGTAGTAAGATGCTATGGAAACACTACTTGTCTTCTCTGTGATATACTGCCTTCCCTGTGCCCCACTGCTACATTATGTTCTTGGGTTCTGTGATTCTGCTGCTGTTTTGTTCCTTCAGTTTTTCTTTGTTCTTATACTCCACAGATGAGTGAACTCATTTGGTACTTGTCCCTCTCCGCCTGGCTTATTTCACTGAGCGTAATACTCTCCAGCTCCATCCATGTTGTTGCAAATGGTAGGATTTGTTTTCTTCTTTTGGCTGAATAATATTCCATTGTGTATATGTACCACATCTTCTTTATCCACTCACCTACTGATGGATACTTAGGTTGCTTCCATTTCTTGGCTATTATGAATAGTGCTGCAGTAAACATAGGGGTGCATATGTCTTTTTGAGACTGGGCTCCTGCATTCTTAGGGTAAATTCCTTGGAGTGGAATTCCTGGGTCAAATGGTATTTCTATTTTTATTTTTTTGAGGAACCTCCATACTGCTTTCCACAATGGTTGAAATAGTTTACATTCCCACCAGCAGTGTAGGAGGGTTCCCCTTTCTCCACATCCTTGCCAGCACTTGATGTTCCTAGTCTTTTCTATGTTGGCATCCTAACTGGCGTGAGGTGATATCTCATTGTAGTTTTAATTTGCATTTCCCTGATGATTAGTGATGTGGAGCATCTTTTCATGTGCCTGTTGGCCATGTGAATTTCTTCTTTGGAGAATTCTCTTCATATCCTCCACCCATTTCTTAATCAGGTTATTTCCTTTTGGGTGTTGAGGCATATGAGTTCTTTATATATTTTGGATGTTAACCCCTTGTCAGATATGTCACTTACAAATATATTCTCCCATACTGTAGGATGCCCTTTTTGTTCTGCTGATAGTGTCCTTTGCTGTACAGAAGCTTTTTAGCATGATGTAGTCCCATTTGTTCATCTTTTATTTTCTTTCCCATGCCCGAGGAGATGAGTTCAGGAAAATGTTGCTCATGTTTATATTCAAGAGATTTTTACCTATGTTTCTTCTAAGAGTTGTATGGTTTCATGACTTACATTCAGGTCTTTGATACATTTTGAGTTTACTTTTGTGTATGGGGTTAGACAATAATCCAATTCCATTCTCTTGCATGTAGCTATCCAGTTTTGCCAACACCAGCTGTTGAAGAGGCTGTTATTTCCCCATTATATGTCCATGGCTCCTTTATCATATATTAATTGACCATATATGCTTGGGTTTATATCTGGGCTCTCTAGTCTGTTCCATTGGTCTATGGGTCTGTCAAGGGCATATCATCCATAGGACTGTCATTTTCAAACCGTGCCCCACCCCCACCCCAACCCCATCCTCAGTGATAAATATATCAGCAGGAGGAGGAAGACAACGGAAGGGAGAAGGTAATGATTCAACCACGTACATACTTGAAATCTGGACTTCCCTTACCCCACCCCCCATCAGTTCTACCACTCTAGAAGTACTTCCTTCACTTCAGTAAAAGTAGCAGAGAGATCCCCACTGGTTGAGCACAATAACTCATTTAATCACAAACGCTTGGAGTTTGAGAATGACATCTTGTTTGCACATTTTCCTTCTTCCCCACTCACCACTATTAATCATACTTTGAAACTAGAAATTCCAAAGCTGCGGAATAAACCTCAGCTTCCTGCCACTGCCAACCCCAGTCGGCAAGTACACCTGAGTGCTTGTTAAATGTACTGTAATATAAAGAAAATGGTTGGGTGTTTTCTTTCTCAACATCTTTCTTCTGTCTTCCCAGGAACTTGGTATTTCATTGGTGTAGTGTTTCAGAAGATCTACCCACGTTCACAGAACCCAGACAAAGCTCCAGATTCTGGCATGATTTCTGAGGTTCTACAGGCTCAAAGAGATGCAGGCTGACCCTCATGACTGCAAGGCGTGGGCTCCCAAGCCAGCGCTTCGGGAAAGCTTGTGGTGGGCTCGTGAGTCAGCCCTCTTCTCACTCTCCTGCCTCAGACCTCTCCTTATTAGGCCAGCTTTGCTGGTTTCTGCCTCACCAGCAGTTTCTCAGGTGGGAATTCCCAATTGTTTTAATCACCATTCATTATTCACCATTCGTTAATCACATGTCACAGGATATTATATAAACACCCCTGTTTTTTCTTAATTTTCCCTGCCATCCTATTTCTTTGCAAGGGAAACAAATCCAAGAGGAGATTCCACCAGATAAACACTAGGGAAGTTTTCTGCTTCCAGAATTTTCAAATACCATTTAAAAGACTGGCAAATGTGATTTAACAGTTTTTAGATGGGTCGGAGCCAGCTGCCTCAATTCTGGGTGTGGTTTCCCAGGGGGGGTGGGCGTGGCTCCCATTCAGTCTGTCTGTCCAACCATGATGAACCACGTCGCTCCCGGGCAGGACTGGGCACAGTCGAGGTACCAGGAGACACATATTAAGACAGATGGTGCCCTGGAGGGGGGCCCAGGATGTTGAGGGAAGCAGACGCAGAAAGTGAGCAGTAGAAGCGTGAATCAGCACTGGCTAATCAGTCACAGCCTGCGTGGGAGTCAGACTCCAAAGCCAACCCCTAAGGAGAAAATCACTTCTGGGAAAACTAGCGCCATCCTTTCTGAGGAAGACGTTACACCGCAAACCAGCATCCCTTTCTCAGCAGCTCGCCAGCTGCAGAGCTCACTCACCCGTGCAGCCTGTCTCTGCTCCTCAGGTTGAGCACCAAAGCTGTGATTTGCTTTTAGGGGCCAGGTTTACAAATACATTTTGTTAAATTGTGGATGCTGTCTCAGAGCACAGGATGCTCTTACCATGACAGTCTGAGGAACTGACACAAGCAGAAGGGACAGCGATTCACCCTTCCACCTCACATCCACCCTGTGGGGATCTCACTCCATTTATATGATTTCTCCTGCTTTTATTCCCTGCAGGGAGCTATTGCTGAATTCAGTTAAGTTGAATTGCA